TCAGACGCCTTCGATTTTTAAAAGTTTATTTTCCTTTTCAAGAGTTTTTCTTCCGTGTTTTTGTTGTTTTCCGTATTCTTTTTTGCATTGGATGATATCCATTACTGGGAGATGCGAAAAAGGGATTTGTGAGCCAGGGGTTGCACAATGACCGCAGGGCTGTGTGACTGACAGGGAGCGATCTTGTTTATGGTGTTCTTGAGAACTCTTCTTGCTTTTTCTCTTCTTTGGAGAATTACTTATCAGCTACTGTTTCGTAATTGAAAAGCAACTATCCATGACACTTTTATCGCGGGCTGTCTTTGAGCATCTCCCTATCCACTAACACACATTTAACGAGATCCCTTCGGTTGGAACTTTTGAGGGATTCTCACCTTTACCTTGTGAGGCAATTGATGCCATTCTGAACATTATAAACCCAATGGAGAAAGTGGTTCTGTCTGATTTTACACTACAGCCTGCTGTCAAACTGGCCCTTATGTTCAGCTAAGATTAGTAAGGGAAAGTGGACGCCAACCTTTGGTTTAGCAAACGAACCATTGCGTAGCTCATCGGCCTCTCCTGACATATCTGCCTTAGAGTTAGCATCTGAACAGTGAATTATCCATATTAGCTCGATTAGAGCGGAAGCGAAAGTGAAAGTGTATTTCGTTGTAATGGTAATGAGGAAGCAAGATAACCATCCCGTAGGAGGTTATACAGTAGTAGAGGAAAAAGGCTATTCTGCTCCGCCTATACGCCTACTTGGGACAGACGATTGACAGGACCCCATGCCGTTGCGGAAACTAAACAAGCCTCTGTCAACGCTCATGATTTTACGAAGCGCAGAGATGTACTAGGAAATGCTTTCTCTGTCAGCAGACCTCGGCAAGAGTTGACAGGAGCTGGTCGCAATACAGCTAATCGGTCGATAATTGTGACTATGTAACCCTGAGTTCTAACAGTACGGTAGAACCGGAAACAGTTTAAGCAGAAGTGTTCAATGCGCAGTGGATACTCATGATGTTTTACCCATAAAATGCTAGGCCACAGTAAGAACGATAAGGGACCTACGAGAACTACTCAAATTATCAACCTGTCGGCTAGTTCCAAAAAAAAAACAGGGGGTGTGCAGAAAAAAAGGGGATGTCGGTGTACGACTTCAAGAGGGTAATGCATTCTCAACTGCGCAGAATAGCTGAAATCCAAGACGTAGCAGCTTACCAGTAGTAGCTCCAGAATGGTTTCTCGTTGGATACCGTGATTTCTTTCCTTTCTCTTCTGATACCGTGTTTCTGAAAAGAAGAACGTAAATCAAAAGGCAGTCGGGGAGTACACGGAATCACGGGGATCTGAAAAGTGCAACAGCGAACAGGATTCGAGGACAGCAGAAGGAATGTGGCCTACAACAGCATACAAAAACGACCTCATTTCCCCTCACTCGACAAGGGAACACACCGTATACTCACTGTTTTTTGAGCTTCGAAAATGCGCTCACTTGTTGTTCAAAGAATCAGAAACGATCAAGATAACACACGACAGACTCGATGGCACAGTCGAGTCTGTTTGTTGCCGTTGTCCCTCTCCACCCTCTTCTCAAAAAACTCGGCGTTAGATGGCAAGAGTCAGGGCGGTCTGGCTGTGTGCTCCCCCCCCCCTCACCAACATAGACGTCGTCTTTTTTTGGTATGGAAATGCAGTACCGTTTAACAACTGAATCGACTGAATTCCCTCATACGGGAAAAAACTGATACCAAAAAGACCGGCACTGTTCCAGAGGCAGTCTTCTTTTCATCTACTTCAGAGTAATATAGTAGCACCACGACTTGCTTAATACCTTCGGTACTGGGAGCGCTTGCCTTTGCTACTACCATAGTGACTTTTTGCAGTACCATGATGACGTAGATAATTCAAAAATAAAATTATCCGTACCGCGAAACATGGTTTCAAGATCCCCAACCATGCTTGCCACTGCCACGCAATGCGATTCTGTCTTCTCCAGAGTGTTACAGGTGGATGCGCTGGGGTACTCTTAGCGCACGGTCACACAGTATATAATGCTTCACAGATGTCTACACCGGGAAATTCAACTTGTTTTTTGATCAGGTACCTCAGAACCGATAAGACCAGCTTCTTTTCTGTTAAGCCGCAGATCGAGCAAGCACATTCCTTTCAGATTTCTAAGAAATGCAAGCAGAAAAAAAGAAAAAAAACCTTGCACGAAGTTGATCACGTCCTGGAGGAGCGCCACTGTTCTGTTCATCATCTTTTTCGGTCTTCGGTGTCTCCTTTTCGACCGATTTACTGAACGTAGAACGTTTATCATAGAAACGTAGGACTGCGAAACTGTCATTGCAGTTCTGCTGACAAAAGGAATTGAGATAACCTTGAGGGAATTGCTTCTTTTGTCTCCTTTTTCTTCTTGTTTTCTTTGTTATCTTCAGCAGAAGGGATCTTGACATGACTTTCACATTCGCATGCGCTTGAATATGACTTTTTCATTGGAATATCACTGTAACGGAACAATTCAAAAGTTTCAGAAGGCGACGATTCATGAGTAGATTCTGGAAGCTAAAAGCTGTTTGAAATTGATGGAAATACATCCTCGTTGTGTTTCTAGAAGAGCGCCCATCACAATAGCTCAAGAAGACATGGTTCCTAACTAATACTACGCCAACGCATATAGCTTTCCTTCTCATATAACCTTCCAACGCACATAGTCTAGTTCGCTGCGAACGAAGGGGCGTGTCATGCAGGATGAGTTTGGCGTGGTGCCAAACCCGTTCTTCACCAGTTGTTGAAGCGAGCAAGTGATAAGGCTGTATCATGTCGTTCGTATCACTCGTTTGTTGTACATACCCGTTTCAAAAGCGGTGGAGAACGGGTTCGGCGACGTGGCAGACTCCTACTGCCTGACACGCCCCTTCATCCGCAGCGTAATACCATTGGCAGTTCACAACGGCAAAAATGGCTGGACGTTTCGCGTTCATGCTGCGCAAGTTCACATTAGTCTAGTTATACCTTCACGATTTAGAAGACCTTACAGTGGTCCAATGATTACGAGTGGAGCGCGGTCGCAGGCAATGAATTGCGAAGTATGAACGCGCCCTCAGGCTGCTTTCATAACCTGTACAGAACTGTGAGAACATCTGCAAAAAAGACCATACCCTGTGAATAAGCATGCCAAATTCGCTTGAGTTCGCTGTTCAACAACAGCTTCGATCCCATGACAAGCTGCATACTCAGCATCTTTCAGAAGTAGGCTGACGTAAAGCTCACAGTATGGTGAAAACTTTCATCTGAAAAGAAGATTATATGACTGAAATAACATGATTATATGACGTGGGAAACAATGAACAAACCCCATGAGCATGGGTATGTCCTTCCTGTATGCAATGCATGTCTCTTTCTTCTTCGCTGTGAAAGTTCTCCGTACAGGATGTGCACTGGTACTTTCTGAAAAACAAGGACATGAAAATGGGTTCAAACCTGGTCCTTCGGTAATAGTTCGACCATTGAAACTCCGAAGTGTGGATGCAATTGCTGAAGGTCCACCTGTGAGAGGCATTCTGTGCTGACTGTAAGTTATTGTCACCGGCAGCATGTTAAGGTACTTGTACGCGTAACCTCACTTTAAGCTATGTTTGGATTGAACGGCGTCAGCTGACAGCCATCGGCAGCCGAAGACTGAGGATAAGTTAGGCGGTTGCCACAGCCAAAAAAAGCGCCACTCCTGATCAGCGCAGAGAACAAATCTTATGCTGAATGATTCGGTGCATGAAAGATGGCGAATCTTATGGAAGAGCGTTGCGGTGCCAAATCCGATGCGAAAAGTACACGTTATATCCGTTATCAGGGCACTGAACTACCTCCGAAATCAGGGCACATCGTTGTTGGGGATTCCCCAACAGGGGTCGTATTTGGTCGCTGGGAGAGGGGGTCGTACTTGGGCTGAGAAAAATTTTTTTGATAGTTGATTTTTGTTGTTTCGGTGACGATATAAAAGGGGGGTCTTATATTCCCTTTAGACTGGCTGGAAGAGGTTGCCTGACTTCTCGTGATTTTTCCTGTTTCATGTTTCCTCCCCTCCTCCTCCCCCCCCCCCCGCTCGACATCTCGATGAGGAGGGAACCAGATGGAGGTCGTATCAACGCTCTAAAAAGAGGGGGTATCGTATCGTACGGATTCGACAAGAATCCAACCAATGAAATGAAAAATGAATGATGTGCTCGGTCCGAAATTCAAACAGTTGACTAGGATGCACCTACTCTAGTTTAGGCCCAGTTTTGGTGGGAGGACCTGGAAAGGATAGTAAATTGGAATATCAGAGAAACAGATCAGGTTTCTTGCAACTTCATTGTTCAAATACCAGTGAGGTATCAAAAGCGTTGAACTCACCGATAAAACAGGTGTTGATAAATGTGC